CCATGTTAGCATCTATATTGATGTTGTCTCTTTTCAGACCTTGTTTTAGAAGCCACATTGATGAAACTTTATGGGGGAAGCCTCTCTGACATTTCTCAGAAATGAAATCTTTGAATCCTGTGTTGAAGCAGATTATTTTATTGTACAAGTTCAACTGATTTAAAAGTGAATCTCAGCACAGTGTCATTTATGTGTGTGCCCTTGAAAGATTGAGATATAATTAATAGCTATGCTCAAGGTTTCAAGACTACCCTGAGCAAGATAAACAAAATACATCTCAAAAAACATTATCTTCTAAAACTTACTGTAAAAACAAACATCAAGGCATAGTTAAATAAATATGCTTCACTGAAGCCAACCCACATTGACACATTGTAATTAAACCACCACCAAATCTTAGAATCATTGTGTGGCTCATTTAAGTACTTTGAGTGGGAACTGCCACCTACCCCTAGGCTTATATATTTGAACACTTGGTCCCTATTTGGTAGCCCACTTTGGGGAGGTTATGGAACTTTTAGAAAGTGTGGCCTTTCTAAAGGAAGTGTATCAGTGGGGATTGGGATTCTACACTTTGTGGCCTTGTCCTACTTTTTGTTCATTCCCTCTGCTTCCCCATGTGAATGAAATGTGCTTAGTCACCTTTCACTTCCTACATCTATAAACGTACTGGTCATGGACTCTCTCTCTCTCTCTGAAACTGCAAGGGAAAATAAAGTCTTTCTTCTATAAGTTGTTCTCAGTCATGATTGTTTATCACAGAAACAGAAAGCAAACTTGGATAGAATTTTGTAAAAGAAGATATGGAGGTTTTTTTTCTGTAAGTAACCTGATAATGTTGATTTTTAGGAAAGATTGTGGGAGATTTTGAAATAGAAACTTTGAAATAGAAACAAGGTTGAAGTCAGAGCTTGATGGCCTTTCTATTAGGAGTCTAGAAGACAGTAGTCCTGAAAACAATATGTATTGTGGAGCCCTACTACAAGTGGCTTCAGAGGAAAACAGACTGTATTAATAATTAAGACTGTATTTGGCTACTTGGTTCCCAGTTTACTGTGCAGGTTGGGAAGCTTAGAGAACCTTTAAGACGCACAGTTTTGCTGGAGGAAGTCTGTCACTTGAAATAAGTTTTATAGGTTTATTACCTCACCTCACTTCCTATTTTCTTTCTCTACTTCCTGTATGTGGATAAAGGTGTGATCAATCAGTTTCCTTACATAATGAGCCATGGCTCATAGAACCAGAGTCCTTTTTTTCTGAGTAAACTCCATATAATCTAAATACCTTTAAATACTTTTGATTAGGCAACATTTGTCAAAATTTCCATATTTCCTTATAGTGCTATTATAGGAAACATGTTGCAACGCACAGTCCTTGAGTGTTAAGATTCAAACTATATGACAAGATAATTATTTTTTTCATCCTTTACCATGTAAGAACAAATTTTGCAATACATTACTGAGAAACAAATATTTCTATGGATATCAAAATTAGATTTTTACTTCATATGAAAAGCCAGGCTTAGAGAGCATTGTTAAGTGTTCATTGTTTGATCAAATTATTTTTTTGGCATGTACTTATATTGCAATCTATAGGAGAATGGAGTTTGCTACTGTGAAATGAGTAGCATATGAATAAGGCAGTTAGTTTCATTGTATTTCATATACATGCTTTCACAGGAAAATTTGCAATTACATGAATTAAAATTTTTATACCTAAAATGCAATCACATACTTCAGATACAATTGCTTTTCATACAACTCAAATAATGTACTGGTAAATATTTTGTTTTAAGCCGGGCGGTGGTGGCACACGCCTTTAATCCCAGCACTCGGGAGGCAGAGCCAGGCAGATCGCTGTGAGTTCAAGGCCAGCCTGGGCTACCAAGTGAGCTCCAGGAACAGCGCAAAACCACGCAGAGAAACCCTGTCTCGAAAATCCCCCCCCCAAAAAATGTTTTAATCTCTTTTACTATAATTTGTTCTATAACTATCATCAATTCTATAGAAGCATTCTAGTTTATTAAGAGTCAATTCTCTTTGCCACATTAAATTTATTGTTTAGTAGTGATTTATTTGGTGTGTCAATGTATGTGGTTTGCACAGGTGTGTGTGCATAGTTTCATGTGTATGCACACATGTATGTATGTAGACATATGTTTCGAAGGCCAAAGGTCAAATTCAACTGTCTTCTTCACTCACTTTTTACTTCATATAGTGAGACAGGGTCTCTTATGAACCAGATATCACTGATTCAAGTAGATCTCACTGATTAAAGTCAGATTGCTTGTTTTTGTAATCATCTATCTCTACCTCTAGCACAGTGAGATTACAAGAAATCTGTGATCCATCTAGCATTTATGTGGGTACTGGAGATCCAAATGTGTGGATTCATGATTTCATTTCAAGTGTTTTAATGCATAGATTGATCTCACTGGTCACTGAGAGTGATTTTGATCACTACTTGAGGTATGAAATCACAGAGCCAAGTAATTTACATGAAAATTTAGTTAAAGAATAGACTAATAATGTTCGATCTGAACTCACAATTTCAAAATTATTTCTTTCCAGACACTATCTGTAATAGTTAAACTTAAATTCAAATCACCAATAAATCTCATAATATTGTTTGTCATAAATAGTCATCTCTATATAATTTTGAAACTAGTAAAACCTGTTATATTCAAACAAGTTCTTTTGTAAGTGGAATATCACTAATTTCCTACTAAAAATGTGAGCAGAGATGTACATATGCTCATTTTTCTAGTTACATATAAATTGACAGATTAAAATAAAATATCTTAATATCAATAGTATTATCAACATGTATTATGAAGAAAGGGTATATCCTAAATCATCTTAGACACAAGAAATCAAGGATGTACATGTTGTTGCTATGTCTTAAGCCTGAATACACCAACCATTTGAAGCAGTAGTATCAATCTGCTTCAGTGGTAGAATATTACATATAAAACTTAACATGAAATCACTCCATGTACTGACTATGTGGAGTAAAACTGTACCATTTCACACTTTTCTAATGTAATACATTGTGAAAAGAAAGGTATTAAATTTTTCCTTTGAAATTCTCTACGCCAAAATCCACAATCCCAGGCTAACCAGGAGAGAATATTTAGAAAAAAAATTTGAATGAAGGCTGTTCTACAGCATCATTGGTCAGTACTCTGCCAACTTGCTGAGGTCATTATTGACAAGCAAAGGATGAGATTATATCATAGTATAAAAGAACCTAAAAGAGAAATGTCAACTAAATATTATATGGAACCATGGATGAATTTTTGCACTTTAGCTCTTTGAAAGTCATAAAATAAATACAAAGTAAATAGAAATATATCAAGGATTTGAAATAAGAATGATGTTCCAATGTAACTTTATATCAATTATAATAAATACATCATGTGAAAAAGTTAAAAATATTATTGAATACTTGGTAGCTGCATTATTATGACATTTTTATGAGTTTGAATAAAAAGCATTCTAAACAAGGTTATAAGGGATATTACATTATTGATTGAATCCAAATTTAGATTGTAGAAAACTAAACTCTAATTTTATTTATATTATTCATGTCATTCCCTCACATTAATATTTACATATTTGTGCAAATAATTAATTAATTAAGCCAATTCCTAAGTTTAATTTTAGTTGCTTTCATGTAGTTATTGATCATCAGATACTTTAACTGGCTATGAATTTGTTAGCCACATTACAAATATAAAATTCTTAATCTATTGCTTGAGGATAAATTTAATTTGTTCTGGTTTGTTTTATTTTAAAGAAAGTGCCATTATCGCAAAATTTATGATGTAAATCAGTTTTGACTTGTTCTAGCACTTAGCTAGAATGAATAAAACAATTTCATGGTTTACAAAAAATGTATGAAAAGAAAAACAGTAACACTACACTATAACTTTGTAATTCTTATACTGTAATGAAAATTAAAATGTCAATTATAATTTTATATTCATTGATATGAAGTATGATACGTTTCCTTACAATTAACTAAACTGGAAGTGAAACAACAGTGATGGCATTTTATTTCCCAAATGCTAACAATATTCCATAAATGTTTTAACCTGGATCACCTATAATTAAGCCAAATCACAGATCACAGAAATCTTGACTGTGTTATTATATGAAATATTATAATCAATATAATTTGGATTAATTTTTGTATCTATTGTTTTTATTGGAAAAAGCAAAGTAAGTGTTTGAAAGTAGTTCAATATTGTTTAACAATTTTCAAATTGATTGAAATAATGTTTAAAGAAAAGGACATCTAGTATAGGATCATGACTTCTGTATCAGTCAGGGATCATGCAGCTGGGAAATCTCACCTCTGTAATCATCTACAGAAGAATTGCACAATGGTAGCACCAGTTGACATGCCAGTGCACAAAGAATAAATCTCATAAGGCCTTACTTCGTGCTAGAAGAAGAGCTACTGGGAATTGACTGCTAAAGGAAATAAAAAGTCTCTCTCAAGGAATAGCCTCCTGATAGGCTTTCCAATTCCTATAATCTCTCTGAGTAACCCTGAATACACTCAACAGGCAGTATGTGTGTGTGTGTGTGTGTGTGTGTCTGTGTGTCTGTGTGTCTGTGTGTCTGTGTGCAACAATAATTAAAGAAGAACTCATGAATTTAAAAGGGAGTGGGGAGGATACTGGAGATATCAGAGGTGGGAAAAAACAGGGTAGAAATGAATCATGTATGAAATTCTCATTAAGAAAAAAATTAAATTAATATGATATAGCCTATTATATCATATAAAACTTATAAAATATATTACCATCAACTATACCATTTTATTTTAACCTATATACATTTAGACACAAATTTAACTTAAAACAAAAACAATATCATTGTCACTGTTTTCATATTGCTGGTGTTTGAACCCAGGGTCTCATATATGTTAAGCAAGTGTCCCAACTCAGCTTTTGAATATTGGCTTCACAAAAACACATAATACAAACATAATTATTTCTCATAACTACTTTATTAATATCTCTATTTATGAATAAGAAAACATGCAATACAGAACCTGAAATAGAACAATTAATACACAGTTGTCACTGGAATACATACAGCCATACTGGTCCAAATGTATCCAATCTTTCACTTAAAAGCATCCCATACTTTTGGATACTGTTCACTTTCAGAAGCTGTATGATGTCACAAAGGAGGAGTCTTCCCCAAATACAAACATAAATACACAGTTCATAAAAATTCAAATATTTTAAGCAGGGACAGCATAAATTTCACAAATTTTATTCCTAAAATTAGCATATACAATCACAAAACAATTGCCTTCCTTCTTTTTATTTGTGCACACACATTTTTATGAGCAGCCTTCTCTTCTCTAGTCTTACTGTTGTAAACTTGCAGTACTTTTAACAATCATATTTATGGAAAGCACATGGGTGGTATAATCATGTAAGAAAGCTACTGTGGATGAATATTTTAAGGTTGCTCCATAAGATTCTCTAGTGTGGTAATTGGCACATGATATAAAAATGTCTCTGTCCAAATATAGTCAGCTCCTCTGCTCCCATAGTATGCAGGCCAATTGAGACACCTGGAAATAACAAAAATAGTACTCTACATTTGTGAGAAAATTTTCACTTCAATGTAACTAAAGTTTGGTTTACAAAGAAAAATGAAAGAACAAAACCCATAAAGTATAAACACAATGAATTATAAATCAGAAGAGTATAAAGAAACCATATTTCCATAAATGTATATTAGATATATGCACATTTAGCCTTAATAAAATAATTAAAGATAACTGCTGAAATATGCTCTAGGGGTAATTTATTCAGGACTGAAAGTGATCTTTCTGAATATGACATGATTGTATTTTAAAGACTGCCCAATTCATGATCTATTTATTCTACTATTTTACCACTTTAATGAAAGTGTGTGACAAACATTAGTTTGAGAAGGCAGAAGCTCTTCATACTGTCACCATTGCACAATAGCACTCATCATTTAACAATATTTTTTTCTAACCAAATTTGCATAACTAAAAATAAAATGTTAAATTACTATATGAGACTACATAAAATGTACTCTCTAAATTGTTTACATTGTTGGTATCATATGTAAAGTTAGTTTTAATACACTGACACAATATTAGTTAAAACTTGTAGATAAAGTTTGAGAAATGAATGTGTATGTATTTAGCACATGAGATACACAGTGTATGAATACAGTTACAAGTGTGTATATTAAGCTATAGCTAGAAAATTAATAGTCACTTTTTAACTAAATATGGCCACAATATAGAATAACCAGTCTGGCAGTCATATTCTGAAAATATGAAATCACTCTTTTAGTTCAAATAAATCAAAGATTTTTCTTCTTTTGAGGGAAACATTTTTTGACTGAAGGTCAACTAAGACATTTTGCAAATGTAGGATCACATGTTGCTTTTCAGTAGAACCACTTGTGAGCTTTGTCAACCTATAGCTCTGTCCATCCATTCAAAGAATTTATAATGTAATGAGAAAGATCTCATCAAATCTAAAGCCATGGAAGTTCCAGGTTTCCAAGGCTATACCTAGTGGAAGCTAAAAAAGAGAATGCATAGGGGAGAATAACTGGGCTCACACCCCTTGCCTCTTTGGCTATCCCAGCCTGCTTCCATTCAATTTCTCTCTGGTACAAAACCAGAAAAGAATGCCCAGTCATTTAATTTCCTAAACACTGTCTAAGTCTGATTATTAAACCAGATTTAGAAAGGGCAACAAAAGCATATCTGTTCATTCCTATATTTCTAGGAAAGGTATCAACACTTCAGAAATTGTTAAACATAAGGATATAAGAGCTTCCCTAGTAATTCAGTAAGTCTTGTGATCAGAAAAAAAACTCTCAAATATCTGATTTTTTATATGTCATATTTCCATTAGCAAAATAAGCATTCAGATTTCTGATGTAATATTTAATAAAATTTACCCTCTATTGTTATTTCCTTTCAAATTTGTGTATATGTGTATGAATATAAATGTACTAGTTATGGAAAGAAAATGTGCAAATAATTAAAATATAACTTTCTCACTCACATAATTCCTGTTTGTTTTTTTTTCTTTCTTTTTTCTTCTTTTTTTTGTATGTGTGTTGAGAGGAAAAACAGCAGTCTAACTCTACTGGAAGCACTGATTTTGTCATTCTGGGTTTCTTTATCTTCCCCAGGTTAAAAATCTTCATTAACAGCACAATAGCAATAACAATATCAATATACACACATGATCTTATTTCAATAAAGTTTCAACCACCATCAATCATTTGGGGGTTTTGTGCACCTGGAAAACCAGAATGCTACAAATCCCTGGAAACACTAACAAATACAAAGAAGGAAAAAAGGAATAGTAATTATTAATTTGAAATTTCACTAATTAGACTCTAGATGTTAAAAGTTAAGAAGATATTCTATACACCAAATCATATACAATCTAATTAACTTCACAAGGGGAACAATATATTCTTAAAACGCTACTTAACTTGCCGGTCACACAAAGGAAAACTTTTATCAACATTCAATGGAAACAATGAAATTATACATTGACCACAGTTTATATTACAACATTTACACACAGTTTAACCATAAATTACATACCATCAAGTTACACATTATAAAGTCTACATCTAATTTAATCAGGAAATATTCAGCACCCCCCTAACACAAACATTAATTGATTCTTTGTTTAGTATGATACTGAAACAAGACACTTTCTTGATTTTGTTATGGGGGGAAATTAAGTTTGTGGTGTTTCTGTAATTTGTGAAATGTGCACACAGAAGATAATGGCGAGTTAAGTAGACAAAAACAGAAATTAAATGTAGGCAACAAAGGAAACTAATGTTTCCTGTGGATGCACTGTATTCTTTGCTTAGGATGTATTAGTCTCATATGTGAGATTTTGTTCTTCAGTGTATGTTACTGGGGCATTTTTTATGTACCCCAAGAAGCAGTCATGAACCTTATTTCTTCTTCTGCACATCTCCTTAAAATTCTGTGCTGTAATGTATTTTATAGGTTTAGAATTAAGTCTCTTGAAAAGTTCTTTCTTGACGTTCATCTTATTTTCAGTAGTTTTCTTCAGTAACTGAGCTAGACTTATAAAAATCCCTTAGTCTTATGTACTTAGTATGGGGTTTTATGTACAATTTTATATCTTTGTTCTTTTCATTGAGCATTTTTCAGTAACAGCCGGTGAGCTGTCAAATCAATATTTAAATCACTCTAATCATCTTACTAAATAGTAAGTTCCTGTAGTACCATTGAATCCACCTTTTTGTGATTTTTATATACAAATTTCAGAAGATAAATACTCAATTTTTACTGGGATATAGGCTTATCATGACAGACACAGTAATATTTCTGATGTACTTTACACTACACTACAAAAGTATAATCTAAAAAAGCACAGGCCCATTCTGGCTAACTGTTGCCTAACATGGGCATAGCTATTGCACTTGAGTGTCTCGAACTCTACTAAAGAGTAGAGAAATAGGTTGAAACCTATGTCTGTACAGTTTATATGATTTTTTTTGAAAAAAAGTATATACAAAATATATCAATATATTCTTGAAATAAAGGTAGAAAACATAAAAAACAGGAATACAGACAAAAACTATAAAAGATCTTATTTACACCCTCCCACTGTACATTTTTGAAGGTAGAAATATGGACAATTAGAAACTAGAAACAATGAAGATAAACAGAACAAAAAGATGAACAAAAAATGCTATAGTACTTATGCCATCTAATTTTATCAGAACAAAAGGTTAGACAAACTAAAGGTAAACTTGGAAAGTCAGATCTTTTCCAGTTCACCAATAACTATATACTGTGTCCACAAAAATCATAATGAAAGAAATCAGTAATATTGCACATGGTGACAAAAAATAAAAATTCATTAAAGTATATCAGAAATATGCACTAGATATTAACTTCTGCCATGATAAGCATTTCTGTACAAAGGAATATCAATTTTTAAATTACTTCTTTTGAAAATTACAGTTCAAATCAAACAAATCTTCATTTTATTTTTATCATGTTTGGACTAAGGGTCTAGCTCTAGTCTAATCCTGGTATCTGGTTCTATTTACAGAGCTATTTACAAACCTCTCGATTTGGAATATTCATTAAAATTGAATGTTAATCTTTGAATATATATACATCTTTTTGAAAATGTGAAATATCCAGATAAGCTTTACAAGGGGTGTTCTTCTATGATTGGAGAATCACCCCTTGAGGATCTGGCCTGTTGACCTGAAGTAAAGGTGGTCAAGGGAATGACTTTAATTGAGTCATCATCAGAATGAAGTCTTTCAGCCACGGTGTAAAACTGAGCTCTTGTGCTACCCTGTACTCCCTGATCGAGGGGATGCAGTCCATCAGCTCCAGCACCCTGCACCCATCCTTGTTGCAAACCCTGATTACGATGGAGTGTAACAGCCTGTGACAGAGGAGGACTGTGGTGAATTACCACAGCCTGTGCCAGAGGCGGGCTGTAGCAGACAGAGCCCTGTCCTGGTGGTGGGCTATGGTGGGGTGGAGTACCCTGTGCTAAAGGAGGACTGTGCTGGAGAGAACCTGCCTGTACTGGTGGAGGGCTATGGCACAGTGCAATAGCCTGGGTCACAGGGGGGCTGTGGCAGATAGCGATAGTCTGTGTTACTGGAGGGCTGCTGCGACGAACAGATGTGTGCGTCCTAGGTGGGCTGTGGCAGAGAGCAGTGGTCTGTATCTGTGGAGGGCTTGGATGGGTCAGAGACGCTGGCATCCAGCAGGAGTCAGAGTGGCCCAAAATGAGGCATTCTTGAGTACAGTTGTCAGAGGCTTCTTCCAGAGTTGGCTGCACTGTTATTTCTGCAGCTGTCAGGGTGGAGAAAACAAAACAAAAGAAATAATTTTATTATCATCTACATAAAATAAGTCATATCTAACTAAAAATTTAGTAGTCTGTTTAAGTACATTGGAGACTTCTAGTGGATTTACATTTAGTGCCCAATATATAAGGAAATATTCCTAAAGTGACATAAATAGCATAGAGTGGATGAATAGGTGGGGCATCTTTTATACAATTATATTTGTTCAGCAAAAGGTACTGTAAGAAATGAAGAAATAAGCAACATTATGAACTTATTTGCAAATAACTTTATCAAGTTGAATGCATAAAGGATGAGAAAACCCAATAGAAAAGAAGTAAAGTACATGAGTGAATATTAAAGCAAAGAAGTTGAATATAGAAGTCTATAAGATGTGCAGGTCCCATTCTATAACCTTATGCTGCTGTGGGACGGTCTGTATGTCAAATTGCTCTGATTGGTCAATAAATAAAACACTGATTGGCCAGTGGCCAGGCAGGAAGTAGGTGGGAGAAGGATAGGGGAGAATTGTGGGAAGCAGAAGGCTGATGCGGAGAGACACTGCAGCCGCCGCCATGACCAGCAGCATGTGAAGATGCCAGTAAGCCACCAGCCACGTGGCAAGGTATAGAT